CTCACTTGACAGCACATTGGGCTGATTAGCACATTGTATGTGTGCCATGAACTAAAAGTTGACACACCTTTTTTTCGTTTTAAAAGCAGACACAATTACGCACAATGTATTTGTAGTTTCCGGCCATCACCGCCAGGTTGCGCTAAATCCCCTTTTGTTTCCGGAACACCTGAAAGTTCGAACCATGTGTATAACTCACAAACAAGAGAAGAGGTCTCACTACGATAGCTAGTGATTAGTCATTAGCCACTTACAACTACAGCATTGCCAGAGAAAATAGTGCTAAGTTTAATTAGTTTGTTAAATGTGCATGTACAAGACCGGTGACTATGGTAACTTACAATTCGTTAAACCGGAAAGTTTTATTTTTGTGTTTTCCGGAAAATATATAGAATAGCACGTCTTGTCTGCATAGACGATCTTTGCTTGAAGGTAGTTGCGAAGTTCTCGGGGCAAGCGACTCCACGGGAGCGAGCACTGCTGTAGATTACACACCGGCTAGGGAAGAGCAGGACGGACTGGAACGCCGCTCTCCGACAAACCTGACAAGTAGGGAAATAGTTTCACGCGGTGGCCGGTCGACGGGGAAGTTTACTGGGAGTTTAACTACACCCGGGAGCACCGTCGTGTCGGTGTGTTCCCCCCTGGGAGCCAGCGGAGGAGGTAGGTGAAGGTGCGTATCTGTGCCTCAGTGCGGGACACTGAGGAATGCTGTAGCCCTGAAAGCTAATTAGCTAGCTAACGTTAGAGGGCAGATTAAAGCAAGACCGAGGAGACCTGCGAGCTGAAACTGAGAGTTAAGACCACAAAACGTGACGTTAAGGTGAAGGTTAAAGCTCTGAATCCACAAAAGAGCCCAAAGCTACTTTCAGACCTAATATATATAAAAAAGAAATCAGAGAAACTTGAATCCTTTTGGGAACACCTTCTAAATTAGCGTCAAGAAAGCGCAGAAATCAGTGTTTACTTTTCTAAGGAGTGCCTTAAACAGATGTGTTATAGTACTTTTTGACTGGCAGGGTTAACCTTATTACCTGAGAGCAGTGAAATGGATCTGCCATAGAGCAGAAATCCTCCTGCTCACACTTTTTTAAATATATAAAATAGTGATAAATGGCTTTTTAAAGTTGATCTGATCCTCGTGGTTTGAAAGCTGCCGTTTAAATCACAGTAGAGCCTGTAATCATCACCTCAACGACACAGTCCTATCATGAATTATAATGAAGAACCTTTAATTGTTTCAAAAATGTTCATTCTCTTATGTTTTGAGGTGATTTAGATTAATGAAAGTCTTTCTGACCTTAAAACTAAACTTGTACTTTTTAAAGGGCATAAGTGAGTGTCAGTTGAGCAAGTAGTTAGTTATTTAAGAGTTTGGATAATCTCCCCCAAATCTGCCATTTATGAAAATAAAGCAATATTTGTTTATGAAGTGAAAAAGCAACCAATTTAAAGAGACTGTTAAAGCATTTTTACTGTTTTTATTTACTTTATTTTTGTAATGATGGGCTTGAGAAAACCTTGCTGGTGACAGAGCTTCACGTGGTGAACGGAAGAGAGATTTTCTATAAAACCTCCTGGTCTTATTGTGGCCAGCATGCCTTTAACATGTTCTTTATTTGTGTTTTGCTTAAAATGTGTACTCTGATTTCTTTCTTTCTCGATTGAGGGAGCTGCAGCTGGCCGTAGTTGGTCGAAGTGGTTCAGGTTGTGGCTTTAACAGTGATAGGGTGGGGGATGCCGTGGGGAGCTGATTTTGATTTCTCTAGAAGAAAATTATGGTGAGAGTCAGTGTAAAAGTAGGACAGCCAGTGCTAGATCCAGGCTGTTTGAGGCAGCTTGGGCCTATATTTGGTGGCTTCTTTGTGCACGGGGCACAGTGCACTGCTTCTGCTTGTTACAA